ATGTTGAAAAGCAGAGGCGATAGGCTAGAACCCTGCGGGACTCCCGATCTGGAGAGGTACGCGGTTGATTGTGCACCACCGTATGAAACAGAATTCTCTCTGTCATGCAGATAGCTCTGAATCCATTCGCAAAGTGGTAAGGAGATACCATAGGACGCAAGTTTCTTAACTAGCAGTGAATGGCTCACTAGGTCAAATGCTTTTTTAAAGGGGCACTCATACCCGAAAAATTGTATTTTTTTTATTGTCTAAAACGATGCAAGTTGCAGTCATAGACACGCAAAAAAAAACGCATCGCAAAAAAAAAATTTTCCCGCGCGCGTGTGCGCCTTTTTATTTTTGTTGTTTGATTCTCCCGCCTCTCGTCTCCTCGCTTCTTTTGATTCGTGACGCCAAGAATCATGAAATTTAGAAGCTTTGTAAGCAACATCTCTATAACAATTAATGACGGCAATCCTAAAACATGTTTTTTTAAGGCAATCGCGAACGCACTACGACCCTTCTTTTTGAAATACCAAAAATCGGGAGTTCGTTGTGGTGCCGTCGCCTGGATCTGTATCCTCCCACGGAAAACAGGCGACACCGCTCAAAACCGGTCCGCCGGCGGCCCGGCACTCGCTCCTTTCCTCCTGGCTTTGGGTCGCCACGGCAACAGCCGGGAGTCGTGAAAAAAAAGTGGACTCTCAGGACTCCGCAATATTTGACGTCAACTCACCGGCGCGGATCGCGCGGGAACTTCAAATTCGGCTTTTGGAAATTGTTTTTTTACTTTACAAATACTGAATTCCCAAATTTCAAATTTTGAGGGTAATGTCCCGGCATCGTTTTCATTCGTTTCGGATAATAAAAAAAAATATGATTTTGATGTGTCAGTGCCCCTTTAAAATCAAAGTAAATTGCGTCGACCTGCTACTTCAACCCTAGTTTGGCACCCACAAATTCCGTAAACGCGATTAAGTTTGTTTCCACAGAACGATTTGGCATAAAACCATGTTGTTGCACGTTTATACGTCTGGAAAAAAAATGCATAATATGACAATGCATGGCCCTTTCGAGCACTTTGGCAAACGAACAGATCAGTGAAATTGGACGATAATTACTGACAGTTAGTGCCGACCCATCTTTGAATATTGGCACAACTAGAGAGAACTTCCATGCAGTTGGAAAAAGCCTATCTTTCAACGACCGATTAAATATAAAAGTTAAAATCGGAGCTAACATGTCACCGCACCCTTTCACTATAAACAAAGGAATTCCGTCGGCTCCAGCCATTTCTTAAATGGCAACACCCAAATCGCCGCAAAAACGTCGTCAATGCTGAGCTCGGGAATTGATAAGTATTCGTTTTCCTGGTCTGGCAGTGTGCAAGTTTGAGACATACTTGCCGTGGAATCAAAAACAGAAGAAAAGAAATCTGCAAACGCTTGACAGACGTCGCTCGGACCGCAGATATGTTCCGAACCGTTAGATAGTGTTATCTTCTGTGCCGTCTTCTTTTTATTCGAGGAGTTCCTGGTATATTTCCAAAGGCTTTGCGGATTTTGCTTTAGGCTTGATTCAACACTTTGAGTATGGCTTCGGTGGTCACGACGATAAAGATGCTTCGCTAAAGCTCGCTCCGATTTGACTTTTCGTACCAGAACAGATTATTAGTCAGCTTGTAATGTCTGTGATAACGTAGCTTTTTCCTCATTGTATGTTTCAATTCGTGGGAAAACCAGGAAGGATAGTGATTTGCGACACCATGTACGTAAGCCGGAATGAACATCTTCATAGTGGTTGTCACTAGGTCTGTAAGCATTAGTACTTGTTTATCTACGTCATCTTTACCTGATGTAATGATTGACCAATCTGTGTTCGCAAGAAACTCGTAAAGCCCCAGGTAATTCCGCTTTGCATAAGAAAAAGCAGTTGCTTGCAGACAAGCTGTACCTTGGTTATCAGCTGTACTCAGATCTACTTCAAATGGGACATGCCAGGTGTCAACAGGGACAAGTGGGGTGCTAGCTTGTTGTAGTACACATTCGTTATCATTTGTAAGGAACAAATCCAACACGTTGCCTTTGTAGTTGACAAGAAAATTTTTTTGGTATAGTTCCAAGTAGTTTGCGAGCTGAGATAAATCATTCGCTTTCCTTCGCACTTCTGAGTTGGACGAGTTTACGTTACCAGTGTCCCAATTCACACCAGGCAGGTTAAAATCACCCGTAATAAAAACACGGCATTTTGCAAAGTCTGTCATGCTCAAAGCGTGATTAGTAAAAGAACTAAAAATGGAAAAGTCGCATTGCGGAGGGAAATAGTAATTCCCCAGAAGAACATTCGGTTGTCCGTGAAGATTAATTTCGATCCACACTGATTCCTCGTAAATTTCCATATCAGGCCCGCGATATGATTCTAAATTGCTTCGGATTGCTATCAGAGCACCGCCCCCGTGAATTTGATCGTACATTTTGTGATCTCTGTCCCCACGATAGGCTGAAAACTGGGACTGAAAATACTCGGTACTAGAAATATCCTCCCGCAACCACGTCTCAGTTATACAATATATGTCATATTCAGAAGCGATACAATTTTCCATGAACTTCGCAGCCTTTCCACGTATGCTACGTGTATTCTGGTAATACAAAGATAGTTTTGCGTGCATTATTCATCGCCGTTGCTGGGTTGGTTGCTCGTTTGGTCAAAACGCATGCTGTCCTTTAGCGGACTGTAAAACGGACAGAATAGACAACCCTCAGGCCACAGTTCAGCGTCGCTGATGACGTCCAACTTGTCATCGGCTACAGCAACGCATTTTTTTTCTGCATGCACATTGTTTTCAGAAAACAAAAACAAGCTATATCCAAATAATACTACAGCACATACACTATCACTTCAATCACACTTTGTGGGCTCTGCAAAAATCAGTTTCTTAACGCATCACACTGGGATTTAGTGCAGAAGGTGGGGCTAGGTGGTGCAGGCACAAACTTAAAATATCAATGGATAAACTTATTTCGTTCAAGGAAGATTAAAAAAGAGAACTTGTTTCGAGCGATCTATGCGCACCTCAGAGCTGTATATTGGGAAAGTCTGGCCGGCTTGGCGACGAAAGTGCTGGAGAGGAGAGCGCCGAAGGAGTGAGAGAGGAAGGCAAAAAGAAAACGACCACCATTTTGACGCAACAGGCTCTCGGCGCAGAGCACTGTTGATGCTACGCGTCGTCTGCTACGGGCAGACTTCTTTTCCGCCCGAATAGAAGTTTGCGGACAAACATCGAGAAAACTTAATTCATTAGCTTTTCACCTGCCGAGGAACAATACTGTATCATTTTCTTGCCAGAGGCAGCGAAATAAAAAGAAAGATGCGAAATTTTGATGTCGATTCAATGCACTCCACCGGATGAATGAAGGAAAATGGCGGCCCTCCCTGCACAGCTGGGAGCAGCCGGGAGTTGCTCACGCATGCACTCGCGCCACTCACGGAGCGCCGCGGGCCGATTGGCTCACTCGGGAGAGGGCGTTACGGCGGCGAGATTATAGACTGGCCAAACTCTCCCAATATAAGGCTCTGGTGTACCCACGATGCATACGCCACCTGTCGGCAGCACCTCGAAGTAAATGCACAGAAAATGGCGCCGTAGATTGCCTGAAACAGGTTCTCCTTTTCTTTTTTGAACGAGGTAAGTTTATCCATTCATATTTCAACTTTATGCGTGCACCACCGAGCGACAGCTCTGCAGCAAATCCGAGCGTGATACATTCAGATAAACTGACTTTTGTGGACCGTCCAAAGTGTGATCAAAGCGTTTGTGTATATGCTGTAAATTAATAAAAACGAGATCAAGAACTATAAATTGTGAAAATTGAATTCCGTTATCTTAAACAATAAAAAAATATTTTCCCTCAGTGCATGTCCCCTTAAAGGGGCACTGACACCCCAAAGGTCGTATTAATTTATATTGTCTAAAACAATGCAAGTTATAGTCATAGACAAACAAAAAAAAACCGCAACGCGAAAAAAAATTTCTCTGCGCATGCGCGCGCCTTTTTATTTTTGGCGTTTATATTTCCCGCGCTCACCTCCTTGCTTCTTTTGATCGGTGACGTCAAAAATCAGGAAATTTAGAAGCTTTGTAGGCGACATTTCTATAACATTTAATAACGGCAATCGTAAAACATGTTTCTTTAACGCAATTGCGAACGCACTACGGCCCCTCTTTTTGAAAGACCAAAAATCAGATTTCGGTGTGATGTCGCTTCCTAGATTTGTATTCTCCCTCGGAAAACTTGGCGGCGCTCGAGACGAGGATTATCGGCGAGTCGGGGAAGAAACCGGTTTTCCCCCGTGCCGGCTTGTATCCCACCTGCTCACCTCCTCCTCGCTTCGAGTTGCTGTGGCAACGGCGGTGGTCCCAAAGAAAGTCGAGTCGCAGGAGACCGCAACATTTGACTCACTGCACTGGCGCGGATCATGCGGGAACTTCGAATTTGACATTTGGAAAATGATTTTTTTAATTCAGAAATACTGAATTTCAAGTTTCGAATTTTGAGGGTAATGTCCCGGCATCCTTTTCAATCGTTTCGGATAATAAAAAATACATGATTTTGATGTGTCAGTACCCCTTCAAAACACTATGATTTTTTTCAATCCTCGTTTTTTTTACTTATCTTGCAGTTTCTAAATGCTGTTATTTGAAGCCAAAGCTTTGACTCCAAACAATGAACGCAAGGCCAAAAAGGAATAGAGCAAACTGAGAAATAAAGACTGCTTACGACCATAGAGACTTAAAAATGGGTGCCTCTCCAGTCATAAGCTGCCACGAGTGTAGCCTTAAGGTGCTATCGATGTAACCTGCTGAAACAATCAAGCCTCTAAACTAAAGCTGAGTTTGTGGAACCTCAAAGAAGGCTGGTGCCATCAGATTACTCATTTCGAAACCTGCGTGGGGCGAGACAGGGGGCAATGTGTAAGATGGTGCCTGGCAGGATGCCGTGCGGATCTGGCCGAGCACCCACCTCCACAGGCCAGGGGCCTCCGGTACCCTTGGCCAGCCCCCTTCTTGGAGTCACTCTGCAAGCGGCCTGGAACCAAGAGGGGCAAAAGACTGTTTTCCCTCGCTGTAGAATTCCACGCCCTCCCCCAAGAGATAGTCCCTTTTTCTGGCTAAGTATCCATAACAGAAAAATTACAAAGCTCACCCCCCCAATTCCCGCGATATCCGACGGGAATTACATTAAGCGTGCAATCTGCGGTACCGGTACAATGTGTGATAAGTGAGTTCGTAGTGCGTCCCCACATTTTTGTGCGCGATCTATGTACGCAACATCTGTCCCTGTGACAACACGCACATTGATCCTGGATGTTTCTTGCACTGAGAGACGCATAGCTGCTGCACTTGCAATCTGCGGTATCTTTTATCATGACACAGCAGTTTCTAGCACATGTCCGCGAATTTGCCATGTCTGCGATCTGCGGTAGTATCAGTTCCCGTATCATGTGGTTCGTGGTGGGCGCCCCGGTGTCTATTACTCATATTTTTATAAAGCTTTCCTCTAGCATCCACAAAGATATCTCATGTTAGTCACTATTTATATCTTCATTTTGGTTGGGCGTTCTTGGGGCATTTTACGGCACGTGGCGTTTCAAGGTTGCAACTTGTGTCATGTTGCACACAAAGAAACACATGCACGGATTTTCATCAGGATCCAAGATTCCCAATCTCGCTCGATTCAAGTCCCAAGCTGGTCCGCCTTGGAGCAATAATATGTGGTCGAGGAAACGCAACTTCTGACTTAACTGACTTATCAGGATAGGCATCGCAGCTGTCACCAGACCACCGACATCTACCCCCCAAATCACGATGCTAAAATCTAAGCGAAATCAGTCAAGCCACACAAAACAATGCCCTTTGTGCCGGACATATGCAGTAGTGCGCCTCACCCCATCCTCGCTCGCCGTGCACTGCAGCTGACGCATGCACACCCTATGGTTGCCTAGCGAGTGCATGACCGATTCTGCCGTGCAGCTGCGGTCCACTGTAGCGGCAGCAGCATCGCGAGTGGTGTCGAAACTGCCACGCCCGCTCCTACGAGAGCGGCGCAGACGCTGCCTCCCTTGAACGACACGTGGCGGCGCAAGTCGCTGCTCGATTTAGAAAAGGGAAAATTTACACGGGCAAACACTTGTTTGCTGCATGATTGGGGGTAGATGTCGGTGGTCTGGTGATAGATGCAGTTCATATTTTGACAAGTCAGTTAAGTTTGCTGCATGGAAGTTAGACTGCAGCAAGGAGTGCCTGGTGTACCGGCTGTAGATGACAAACTTAGCTAGTGGCCGTACAGACAAATCTCGTTAATTCAAACTCGAGGGGGGCCGAAAATTTGTTTGAATAAAGCAGAGTTTAAATTATTGAAAGTTTCTTTTTTTCTCTCAAGTATCAGGTATTGCAGGGCAACACCCAACTTCATGTACCTTAAACAAAAGTGTCTTAGACTCGGCTTATCTTCCTCTTCTCTCTGAAGAAGAGCTTAGGTCAATCCTTTTTAGCCTTAAGCCCAATAAATCTCCAGGTATCTTGCGCAGAAATTTTGAAGGGATTAGGGCTGTTCTACTTTCGATTTTTAATCACATAATATCTAATGGTATCATTCCATTAGCAATGAAAACAGCTTTGGTGATTCCATTATTCAAGGGAGGCCTGCGAAATAACGTAGAACATTATCGACCTATTTCCATTCCGTCTTGCTTTGCTAAAATCCTGGAAAAACATATGTGGATAACTATGAATAGCTTTTTAGATAAACACAGTTTACTATCTCCTTATCAGTACGGATTCACACAAGGCCGAGGTACTCAAATGCTCCTTGAGGACTTTTTTGACATGCTCAATTTATCTTTTGAACGGAATTAAGCTGCCTGCGCACTGTTCCTTGATGTCCGCAAGGCATTTGACAGTGTTAACCATCACATTTTGATAACAAAACTTTCAAAGTTAGGCTTTCGAGGTTTTTTTTTAAATTTACTGGAAAACTTTCTACAGGATAGGCGTCAATGTGTTTCATTTGGAGGGTATCAAAACGGATTCTTTTCAATCAAAGCGGGTGTCCCCCAGGGCTCGGTTTTAAGTCCACTGTTATATAACCTTTGTGTTAATGACCTCTCCATGATGGTACCAATTTCACTATTTCAATATGCTGATGACATTGTTATTTTATCTAGAGCGTCCAATTATTCAGATGCCTTTTCGTCTTTGCAAACTGCGGCAATTAAAACTATGGACTGGTTTGAAGCTAATTTAATTAAAGTTAATGCATGCAAAACGCAGCTAATGTTTCCACAACCCTTTGAAAAAAGTTAATATGACCTGCTCTTTACGATTACATACGTCTAGGTGCCTATCATGTGCATGTGAGCCTATACAGCATATATCTTCTATAAAATATCTTGGCCTATTCTTTGACAGTGACCTAACCTGGAACACTCATCTTGTTCATGTGTGTAAGAAAATTCGTGCAGTGTCTTGTTTGCTATACAACATGAGATATTTTATGCCACTATCCGTTCAAAAAATTGTTTTACATGCTCTTGTTTACACTGTGCTCCGTTACGGTATTACCGTGTATAGTCGGTGTGCTCTGCGTTGGCAAATTAGAATTAATTCGATCCTGCATTCTTTGCTAAAGAACATTTCCTATGATTTATGCCTGGGTAAGGACTTTGATGCGTTTAAAGCACTGCATTTGCCTGATTTTAACTCGCTATTGATGGAAACTGTTGTTCACTGGCATTTTTGGGATAGTCAATTTAAAGTTCCATATGTGCCTTCTCGTATTCTTAGACCCAAAGAGCGTTACTGGATACCTCGATGTTCGACAAGATTTGGAAAAAGAACTCGGGGTTACTATGTACCAGCATTTATGAACAAACTACCTTCTAGTATATTAAATTTAAGAGCAAAATACAAGCTCAAGAAAGCCCTGAGAAATTTTAGATCGTAAAGCGCTCACTAGTTTGCTTCTGTTATTCTGATTTTTTGTGTGGATTTTATTTGATATGTTTTCTTTTGCAAACGGCATGGTTTCACTGATTTTAAGACGCTGCCAGTCAAGCCCAATGTGGCTTAGGCAGGTCAGACTTAACATACATTATGTTCATTTGCAATAAAATAATTATCATTATTATTATTATTCCCATAGAGACGCTTAGGATAGGACCTGAATGTTTGTTTGAATTATCCGCAAGTTTGTAGTAAGAGAGTTTGAATTAATGAGAGTTGACTGGCAGTGCGACCGCTAACCTGGTGTCTTTAAATTTCATCACGCGCTGGTCAGTACACGAACGTGTGCCAGTGCGATGCCAACTGCCGCCAATGAACGAGCATACAGCGCCGGCTCTCGGCGCTGTATGCTCGTTCATTGGCAGCAGTTGGCGTCGCGACCGCTTGTGCCATCTCTTGTCTCCCATGCGAAGCGGCACTGTATTGTTTGAAGACCGGTAGATTCGCTGCGTTTCCATAGCAGCTAAGCCTTTTTCTTTCTTTACTTTTTCCTCAGGTAAGTTCGCTCTTTGCAAATTTTACAAAAAGAATGCACCATCTGTGGGCAATGCTGCGCAAAGTCGTAGCGCGATAAGTTAAGAAACCGAATTTTGCAATTGATTTAAAGAGCCTGGCCTCTCCTTGAATCATGCGGGATATTTGGTGCTATACTTTTTCTTAAAATACCTTGAATGTTGCGCAGGTATGTCAACATGAGATAGCACAAATTCGGTTCTGCGTGGTCGATTTTTTGCGCTCAGCTACACCAACGAAGTTACCAGTACTACGAAAAATTCCACTGGTACTACACTTTGTTAAAAAAGCATTTGATTGCATTCATACATGCTTAAAATAAATAAATTAGGCATAAATTTGAAAGAACTACCAGGTGGAAGGACGAAGAAGTGAGGAACGAAATCGAAGTGTGTTTCTACAGGGTACCTAATCGAGAAGGCGTCAGAAAGAAATTTAAATGTACACCTGAACTCTATCCAAAAAGTCGGGAAACATGCGCAGCGTGTTTTTGAGATCGTAGCATTGCTGGAGTAGGTTTTTTGCGGCAACGGAAAATACATACCAACCAACCATAACCGTGCCAGAAAAACTCGCTCTGCTAACATAGGGATAGGGTGTCAGGCTACTTTTTGATTCCCGCCAGGGGCCTTTGCAAAGACGACAGGTCCTTTTTTTACATTTTTCCCGCAACGTTCGGCGACACTCCGGGGCTCGGAATCCAAAACAAGAGGAAGGTCTCACCCGTCCTGAGCACTTGTACGACCAGGTACACCTGCCCGTCGACGTCGGGCTTGCCTACGTCCTGAAAAAAGGACACGCGAATCAGAGTAGAGCGACGTGCCACTGCAGAGCCTGGAGAGAGCCTCCGACTGGTGCGCCTTCTGCCCGTGCATCCAAAGTGGTCCCCAAGAACGTCACGATCCCGGTGGCCGGTCGTAGACGTCCCGGCGAAAAGCAGGACCAAACGCGAGTGCTTCCGTCGTCGCGGCTTCTCGATTCCCGGCTGCACAAGCTTCCGCAGACCGTCCAGCCAAAGGGCGACCCAAGGCAGAGCGGGCGTCCGCCACTTTTGCCGTCAATGCTGGGACTCTGCAACGTTGCGGCTGGCGACATTATGCCGTCGGGCGGAAATCGAGGGACCACCTTTTAGGACGCAGTAAACGCACCGGTGGGAGACGCATTCCAGGCAATATGGCGCCAGGCACCGAAAACACTGCACTGGCAGTAAAAGCCAAGCATTTCGTCCTTTTCCCGTCGATCCACCGGGCGGGAGCCGAGTGCCCCCGAGTGCCAAGAGGCACATCCGTTGCACCGACTGTACACTTTAACGGTACTACGATTAAAAGGATCGAATTTAATGCTTCGTGTATTAGGGAACGGGTTAGCCGTCGATATTAAAACCCGTGGCTGGATGGCACGAGCCACCAGCCGAGGAGGAAGCCTACGAAGTACAGTGTTCATGCGATTGTAGGTCGGCTCATTTTTCAATCTTTTTTAAACTTAAACCAGGGCAGGTCGATTTGTAATCCAAACCAAAGGATTCCACTGCCGAAAAACCCTACAAAGACGAGGCCTCCTCGGCTTCTTTTTCGGGAGTGACTGCGGCGATGGCCGTTAGAAAGCGGTGCTTTCATTTCTTGTCTTTTTTTTTTCTTTTAATGGTGCATTTGTCTATGGACTTAACATCCCAAAGCCAGTTGACGTAGGCAGATGGTAACGCTCCGAAACACCTGTCTATGTTTTCTGACGTAGACTTGGCCCAACCAGACAGACGTGTCAAATGTTCCCACTCAAACCTAAGCAGCTGCTTTTCAACTTGTTTTCAAGGTGCTAACGAGTCACCAGACAAATAATTATTACAATCGTTACTTTTTATACATAACAAAGATGGACAAGAGATGAAACTCACTAAAAAGCTAAACTCATCGTAATAAAACATAAAGCGAATAAGTATAATGAAACATATGGTGAAGGAATAAACAATTATAATTGGAAGAGGATTCAAACCCAGAACTTTGCGAAATCAGTAGCAGGGAGGGACACATGCGCGTGACCTCCCAGCTATCAGCGCATCCGTTTGGGCCGCTCATTTGCGCGGGTGTAGCCCAAGGACGGCGTAGTTTTTCTACGACCGGCATTACGATCCCGAATTTTCCATTAATTTTCCTTTGCCACAATCTTTCTCGACAATAACTGGACATGTTACTCCTCAAATGCACCAAGGCCATGAATTCTACTTATATTTCCAGCCTTCTCGTCCTTTTTCTCCAACCGGATCAGCAATTTTCTGGTCGAAGCGAGAAAGTATTTGCGGCTCGTCGTTTGACGACTGTATCGGGACGTAACCAATCGAAGTTGCCAACAATTCCCTTAAACTCTGTAGCACGACACAAGCAACACACGTTGTGGGCGTGCAGCTGGAAACCTCAAAACCGACCGTGCTGCAAGAGGCGACGCCCAATGAGGTCGGCCACCTTGTCCGAGCAGATTAGACGTCATCCCTTGGCTCGTGTGCGGGACATCATTATCGCCCTTGGAGCTCTGGCTTACCCATCAAGTCCGGTCTATGTCGCCATCTTGCGCAGACTACAAAGTTTTTGTTATTGTCACAAAGGAATAGAGCAATCAAACTCGAGTAGGAGACCTTCTCTACATGTTCGCCACTAAAAGTTACCCACTTCTTCCAGCGATGCACCACATTGTTGTGGCGGTCAAATGCTCAACTGCGTATGTAACCACGTTCCATAACACACATTCTGTTTCTGACATGGATGAAAAGGAACGAAAGGCTCGGTATGCTGCGACTCGGCGTCTACGCAGACAAGCACCACCAGAGCTTTGCCCCAATCAACATCATTCACCACGTGGAGATGCGATCAATTTTTTACGCTAGTAAATTAATTCGAACAATGAAAACAATGAATGTGGTTTCTGTAATAAAACAAAAGGATTCCAAATAGACATATAGCTCAGATTTTTGGAAAAACATTTCATGACGCCTTTAAACATAGAAGCATCTACCGTACTGATTCGCATAATAAACACACTTTTTTCCCCGAAAAAATGACGCATATTTGGGGAGTGCGTTCATTTACGTGGGGTAAACTTTATGCATTAATGCACTTCATGCAAATGTCATATTAGGTGTCAATATGACATGGCAATGTACTGTGGCACGTCTCCAGTGATGGAGGCGCACCCACAACTGGTCAGGGGTGCACCGCAGTAACCATGGTTTATAATTTGCGAACCTCTTTAGGGTGCTTTCGGCGTGCCTTTTGCCGAAGGAAAAGCTCCCTACAAGGCTCACTCAGCACGGAGAGAAATTCGCGACCGTTCTTAGGCCTCACCACTTTCATGATTTCACTGTCCGAAAGCGGACTAGACGATGGCGTGTTTGTTGACATCAATGCATCCGATAGGCAAAGAACGTCCGGGGCTGGGCAATTCCTCGACCCAAGCTTCGAAAAGTGTGTGCAGCGCTCGGTTTCACAATTGACCACTATCGCAACTACTCACTTGCAGCCATTACGAGAGCGGCTGGGCTTGGCTTGACTTGGTCTGACCGCTTGGCAGCAAAAGAAAATTGGCTTGGTGGCTAGCTAAACTGGACGCAATCTGAGACTCGTGGAGCCAAAAATTGGAGATGTGTTCATTACGCGAGGGGTAAAAAAAAAGGCCAAATATTGGTATTTGTTGTGTTCATTATGCGAGTGAATACGGTATACTTTTTCCTTCAATGAAATTCAGTTACTGAACTTAGCTCAATTGGCTCGATATATCTCCACATGGAATAGACTGGAAGCAGCTGTGGCAGCATGCACCAAACTAGGACAAAGACAGCTCTGCTCCAGGGCAAAATTTCTGAAGTGATTCAGCCCTTGTAATTAGAGATGAGTACTCTATGTTTCAACCCACTTACCGTGAACACAGTGAAGTGATTAGTGAGGAAGTTGGACTGGCCACATTTGGCGATTCTGACTAGAAAGTTCTCACTGAAACGACAAAAAGGGTGGGATGAAGGACAAACAGCCATATAAGAAATGAGGGTCAAACATAAACCATCATCATCACTCACGCTACGTATATCCTGGCATAGCCGAGCTAAGCTACTGCAATTTTTTGTTTTGTTTATCTCTCTATCTTCTTTCTTTATATATTTTTTTTTCCTTACTATACTAGCTTTTTTTCCTCTTCTTTCACAGCATAGCAAGCCGGGACATAGCGCTGGAGGACGCTTAAGCTTTGCCTAGTGGAATGCGATAGCGTTATCGGACCCCGTTCACAAAGCCTTCTCATATAAACCCGCACCTGTTCCCAAGCCATGCAAGCGCGTGTGTGTGTGGTCTAGTCGGTAGGGTCACGAGTCGACGTCACGTGTGACATCATGTCACGTGACGCATGGTGTCACACGTGGCTATAATGTTTTGATCGTATCAACCCGCTAAATTTAGCAGAAAATTTTCCACTAAATTTGGCGGGAAAATTTTCCACTAAATTTGCCGACAAGATATTCCCTAAACTTGGCGAGAAAATTTTCCAGTATATATAGTGGGTAAATTTTCCGATAAATTTGGCGTAAAAACTTTTCCACTAAATTTTGCAAAAAATTTTTCTGCAAAATTTAGTGGGTCGATAGGCTCATTAGCATCACAGCCAGGTGTGACGTCACACGTGGCTGCGCGCATTGCATTATGGGATTTTCTGGTCCCCCCGGTGCCGACGCAGTCACCAGACTTCCTGAGACATGAGCTCCTCAACGCCATTGCACTAATAAATGCTTATTCTCTCTCAGCAGCTCGTATCAACGATGCCCTTGTGCTGGAAGGAAACAATGAAGAGGAAGACAGAGAAGTTAACCCGGGTAATTGTCCCAGATGGCTTTGCTATGCTGGGGAAAGCATCGGAGTTGCAAGAATCAAGTGCCGTAAACATGGCATTGTTTCAAACACTAAGGCTCATCCTCTTAACAGGGGTTCTCAAACTGGGTTCCGGGGAACACAGGGGTTCCACGAGCTGGTCTCATGGGTTCCCAACAGCCAAATTGCAACCCCCTTCCCCCCATCACCATGCCGCAAGCTGCGCGGCAGGGCCATGGAAAGCGCCTTCATCTTACTTTGTACAGACATTGCGATTGGTATGGCGGGGATATGTGGGAAGCTACACAAGCAGAATTGCCTACAATTGTGCATCTGTTGCTTCTCGGTCGGCAAATATAGAGAGGGGGGAAGGGGGGGCTTTGCGGCAGTTTTTGAGGCTTCCTGGGGTTCCGTGAGACCAAAAAGTTTGAGAACCCCTGCTCTACAAGAAGCCTAGAAGCCACTTGAGTGAAAAACAATTGTGGGATGTCTCTCGAGATTAGAAGTACACGAAAAAGAAGATTATTTCTGGGAGATCTCGGGTGTACCGCACTAATAGAATTCTAGTAGATCGTTCCAATACCTCCGATAACGACACCCGACAACAATATTGTGGACATTGTGCAAGTTTGGTCTCGGTTTCACCTCCGGCGACTGGCAACCAGTGCTGGCTTTGGCATGCCATCAGACGGCACCGACGTCGGCGTAAGCAGAGGCATCAGGTTCGTTTTCAAAACGGAGAACCGACACGTCCACGCTGAGACCGCTCGCTCGAGTCAAACTTTCTCTCGCGCATTTAAATCAAATAAATAGTTTTTCTGCGATTGTTTTTATCCGCTACAATATGACGCACGCGCAAAGGTGTTGGCAGAGTGTCGGGCATTCTTATAAGAAGGACCCACCAAAACTCCCCGATACCGATCACGCTGCGTTCTGGAAAATAGAATTGACCGGTGTACATAGAAAGAATAGCAAATGCCAGTTGTCCGCTCACCTGAGGAACTGGGCGTCGTGCGCATCGTACAGAGCAAAGCGCAGCTCGAGGTTCTCCCCGGGGTTGTAGCTGAAGTCCCGCATGGCCAGGTACAGTTGCTGCGACTGGGCCGCACGCGACACCGCCTTCTCCCGGCGACGCAGCGTGCTCCCCTGCGCGGCAACGAACCGTCAATCGGGACCCTTGTTCACGCGGGAACCGAGCGAACGCGTAAAGAAGACAATCCCGGTTCCCCAGAGCATTGGGCAAGTATATGTATTCGGTCCAAGAGCCCCCCCCCCCCCTAAAGTGTTGTTTTCCGCATCAAAATAGTTTCATCAGAGAGGCGACAGCAGCTGCTGCAAAAGCCGAGGCATTCTCAAGGGGCCTTGGGAGACATACTTTAGCACCACCAGTGTGCCGATATTTCTGGTGGTCTTTTATAGGCCATAGAAAAGACTCTCCCACGATGTTATGTCTCCCAATCCCAAATTACTGAGGCTCTATTCGAGTTGGTACAGTGCCAAAGAACCTACACTGTAGGCAGACACTCGCTCACAAACACAATACTGCTAAGAATACCCTTACGAATAATCAAAAACATTCGAGCCCCCATTTAATGAGAGAAAACACTCACCGCAGGCCCTCCAATGTTGTCTACACTTTCCAAGTGCTGAAATAAAAGCAATGTGGTATTAACTACACAAAACTGGTTTATAGGAATTGTTTGTTCAAGTGTCATAGTTACGCGCAAAATTGTCAATACCAATATGCTTCCACGGCTCATCTTCCTTCTTACGATAGATGAAAATCGAAGAAAGAATTGTGAATCCTAAAAAAAAATACTTCACAATGATAATGAACCGGGAAATCAGCAAAATCAACTTTTATGACCAATGATGAAATATGTATGCCAGATCTGTCTAGAACACTCATCCTGCTCATAGCATATTTCAGCTAGGATTAAACTCAAAGACCAGCTGCATGTCTCATTACAATACAGATGGTTTCCTTGAAATGAGACACCTGAGCTTGCCTCAAGGGGCAGCACTGGTCATGGAGCTTTTCACATTTCATTTTCTTCACTTTTTTTTGCCAAGCCCAGTGAAACGGCACAGGCTTGTTCAGACTTTTGTGCGGACTTCAAATATCTGCCTTTTTTTTTTTTAATTAGTAGGTTAGTTTCTAGCATAATTATAATTGACCAGACTTAAACATTTGACTAAAACCCCGAGACTGGGTTGAGAAGGCATAGACAAACACAAAGTCTCAAACACAGCTAACATTTATTCAACAACAAAAGGGCTTACATAACCATCAAGTTCTACACGAAACACTAGAGACGGGAGAGACTTAGTGTCCAGAAACAGTTGTAAAAAAACATTTTTAAAAAGGAATATTTTAACATATGGTCATTACTACAAATTATAAAGAATACAAGGTTGAAATCACTTTTTACATTGAACCTTTATGACTTTACAACACACTGAAATTCAGTGCTCAATATGTGGCTATACCAAGCAATGAAACAATGGTTCAGTTAAAACCTTGCCTACACCTCTATAGCAAAATCTGCTTCCAACATTGCATGCTTTGCATATTTAGCTACATGTTGCTAAAAAAGTTCTATGTCTGTCTTCCCTAGATGCTAAGATATCCCTCCTGAAAATTTGTGAGGATTCCAGAATTTCTGTTTTGAGAAAGTGTTGTTTTAGCATCAGCTTCAGTGCAATTTCAGCCCACGTGGATATTATAAAGTGATATTATGGCTCAAATATTAATCTCCAAGCTAAGACACTAGGGAAATTAAAAGAAAAATAGCTGCAGACCTCAAAGTCACTATTTCCCAAAAAAACAGCTTTTTAGAGATTTTTGGCTCTAAAGGTTCATGTCTCCCCTTTGATGGTCGGCACCGGTGACAATTACACCTTTGAAGGTTCCCGCCTAAACACAAAACCGCACCCGCCACCCTGGGGGATGCCATTGTCTGTTATGCGTTTGGAAAACTAGGAACATTGTATTCCCACCCTGCTGCCGGAATGTCACGGAAGCAGATGCACCAAAACGAAACCCATTAAAGAAAGGGCGACAATTTTTCGCCCTTAGTGTTTTCATTTTATGCTTATCAAACTAGACAGTTTAAAAAACAGTGTGACTGGGACAAGGACAAAGAGAACCTTGTCGTTTCTATCCTTGTCCCAGTCGCACTGTTTTTTAAACATGAACTCTTACCAACTTGAAGAGTTACCTATTCCAAACTGGACAGCTTGCAAGCACTGAATGTGCTCCTATTGGATGATTAAAAAGGCTCTGTGCACTGACTCTTCCTTTGTACTCTCTTTTGGGGAGAAAAAAACTCGACCATTGGGGCACGTCTTTAGAAAACGAAAAAACCAACTGCACTGACAACTGCAACGTTAATATTATTTTTCTTGTTGCAAGTAAGTGGAAATGATCCCTAAGCATCATCCTAAAAGTCTTATGAGCAGACAAAGCTTGCTGCATGGTACGATGACATCCTGAAGACTTCGCTCGAATATTTTGCCAAGTACAACATGCTCAGTTTAGAAGAGGCAAATGAAGCAATTGCTTTCGAGAAGCGTCACTGTCCGACTGGCCAAGTTAGGTGCAACACTGACAATCTGGTTCTAGTAGTACCGAGCAAATGTCGAGCGAGTGTTTGCACAATCCCGAATGGTCCACAAAAAAGAGCACAACCAACTGACTGACAGGAATTAGAGAGTAGAAATGTGCCTTTTTTACAACAAATTCGGGCAAAACAGGTGGTTATAATTAATATTTTGTGTTTTCGGGTTTTTTTTGTTTTTTTTTGCCGAAGATTCCGAGTTGATCAGAGTTTATTTTTGTTCAATTCCAAATTCTCCGAAATTCGAAGCTCAATTGTAGTGCTTTGTATTTTTCAAAAATGAAAACAAATAATATTTAGGTGCGAACGTGTGCTAGATTCAAGCAAATGGGTTCGTATCGATTGATTTTTGTTCCGCTCTATTCAGTGCTGGCGGCCTTGCCATAGGCAAAACGAGATTGTCCCACGACAACAGGTGCAAATAAGCGTTGCTTTGGCAAAAGTCAACCGCTGCAAAATCCCTTAACTCCCAGAGGTAGTCGCTGGGAAGCCCATCCCATCCTATTCATGGGGGTGGTAAAGGGTGTGAAGCTTCAACTGTCCACCCCCTCTTCCCCCTTCCATGAAATCTCTATGCTTCGTAGCTTCCACCGTTACAAAAAAACAATCCTTCCTTCCTCTAAGAAGCACAAATAGTGCCCAAGCTGTAAACTGGTATGGTGGCTTTTGTCACGACCCAAAAGTAAAATGATCCATTGCCACGAATGAATCTCGACGAGATAAGCGGGAAGAATCCTTCTGTCACTGGTCCGAGATTTGAAAGAAAACTGGGGTGGCATTTTCTCGAGACCACCGAACCCGTGCGCTCGCCAAACTTATCCGTAAAATATTGACTTTTTTTTTTTCTTTTCCCATGCCTACAACGAAATTTGGAGTTTAGTGAATAAATTTGAATCGACGAAAATTCCACCGGCGGGTGTTTTTCCGAGTTTCTCGGATTTATCCTGAAACGCAGAACACTAGTTCTAGAAACGCAGAACACCTTTACGATGTCTCGAAAGTGCACGACGAAAGTGCACAGTGGGTGCAGCCATCTTTTCCAGTCTGCCCCATACGTTCCCCAGTGTCTGCTAGGAGGGCCCACTCACCACCTGGTACAGCTCCACGGGACTCAGCATGTCGGGATCCACGACGGCGCACTCCACTCGCGGAACAAGGTCCATGTCCAGCAGTCTGGAGAGAGACACCGCGGGACCATTTGCCTCAAAACTGGTTCGACCCATTAATAGACCCGTCTCAACCAGCAACTAGAATTGCGAGTCACAACAACATTTTTTTTTCAACGCTATTCAGGTTTCCAATTTGGTCCAAAGGGCCGAGAGGCAACCCTGAAAGAGTGACGTCAGATGTCATAATATATGGGGGCAGGCAGTATGGCTTGTTCCCCATGGGGTGAAGGGGCCACCAAACGATGTCGGGTTGGCATGCTCGTGAGTTTGCAGAGGCGTACTGGTCCTAGTCTGGCCCAAGAACACTCGCGCGGACTGCCACTGATTCGGAAGCTTCTTTGTCGCGGTGAAATTGTGAGCATAAAAAGGGACTATTTCTTTCGGTCTAGCCTTCCCGAAGCATGACGACCTAAATGGAAGATTGAAACCATCCGCCTGACGACAGTCGAGCGCAGCTCATGGATTGCACAGGAGAACTGCGCGAGCAGTCGACTTAGGCGCATAACAACCAATGCCTCGACAGACACTCGAGTAGTGGCTCGTGTCCAATCACTGCGGTGATGAGAATGCCCGCACTCTAATAGTGCCGGAAGCTCGGCGCACGTTTTCTACTTTGCCGACCGCAGTGCATGGCTATGATCAAATAAACGCCGTATGGATTACCTCTGCATTGTCTGGTACGTACACTTTATTCCGTGAGTAGGTTCCCTTTATTTATTTTATTAGTAGTAAACGTTACAGGTCGAGCTGGCGCAGGTACCCTGCCCCCTCCGCGGTAGTGCGTTGGCTACGCAATCAAGCTCACGACGTCTCTATCGGCCTTCGTGGTGGTCATGCACGGTGTCGAAAGCTTTCAATAGTTCACGCAACTATCTTAATGGGTAGAAAGGCTGACGTTTCGGTCGATCAGGGGCGGGTTCCGACGTTCTACAGGCAGAGATCAACAAGGTAGCGAGCTTGGGCTGTGGCACCCGGAATAATAAACAAACTTTTACCCAAACCAAATCACCGGTGTGAAGCCCGTTAAAATTACGAGTCAATTCTTTTCGCGGCGGATTCAAGAGACGGACGTGAACATCAAGTTTCTCCGTTGATTTGTTGAAAGCTAAGACTACAGCGCTAGGACTACAACGCCTTGGACGCCTCACCAGCGACAGGTGCCATCTTGTTTTGAAAGTCGCTGACGTCACGTCAGCGTCGCGTTGTGATTGGTTGCCGCTTTGCGGTTCGTGAAAGCGGTTGGGAGAAATCGGTCCCGAAGCGGTTGACAAAAACGCGCACCAACCGCTCGATCCTAGCCGCTTTGCGGTTGAGAACGCGTGGATCCGCTTCGCGAACGCGGATCCGCTTCCAGTGTGAACGCGCCATTAGTGCCGACCGTACCTTCCCTCTCGCTGCAAGACGGATTAAACGTCGAACAGCTGCCAAAGGGGGTGGGGGGACAAAAGGGAGCCTCGCCTGTTTCCCCAGTCGATCTTGGCGGTCATCTTGACCTTGAGGTCCCACATCTGGTCCTGGGTCAGCTTGCCCGTGACCATCTGCCGGCGCCACTCCAGCAGGTCGCACATCACCTTCTGGATGGCCAGGAACTTGACGCTGTCCCGCTCCTGGGACACACCGCACACACGTCCCCTGTCTCTGCCCGGGTCCAATCCAACCTAAAGCCACTAATGCTTAGAGCAGACTGTTGCGGACTGGAACAGTCGAGCAAATTAGGGAACCCACCAGGGTAGAGAGATCATTTAATTTCAATGGCACAGGAGTAACTGAGGCTAAAGTGCACCCAATACAAGGTCTCATTCGAAAGAAAAGATCAAGAGAAGGTGAGTTCTAAAAACACTAAAATGGTCAATGAAAACTTCTATGGTCTGCGATAACACAGCTCCGACCGAAGCCTTTGGGGAAAAGCGATTCAAAATAACGCCCCAGGCGAGGGAGTCGCCAATAATGCTCTGGCTTCGTTTAAGTGAAGCTGTGTCTATCTCCCAGGGGGCCAAGACTGTGGGCCGAGGCCACTGGCAAGGGCCCACTCTTCTGTCCCGTCTGGTCCCTCGGAGTGAGCGCACTCATGGGGATGAGAAACTAGGTTTAAAATTCAAAGACAGTGTAAAATGCCAATCTGTTTTAAAAAGTTGAGCACATTCTTATGTGGAATTAAAGGATCGTCACTGAGCAACAGTTGAGGGTGTACATGGCCCTTTCAAAATAGATTTCTTCACAGTTTTCCCATTCTGGTACGTCCTTTCCACGTAGAAGATAGAAGTGCGTGAGGTGGCTATGTCCTATTCTCAAACGGCACGGAAGAACTTTGTAAACGCGCTCCCTCTGCCGCACATTGGCCCATCCTCCAAGCATTGGCTTGAACAAATGGAGCTTCCTGCATACTCCACTATTCCCTTCTTCCTGCCATTTTTTCCTTCTGCTGCTACGAATCTGATACTGACAATCATTGTAAGGTAGGTGTGTCACCTCGACACTCTTGTTTCTCCACGTAGCAGCAGCACGGCCTTCTCATTCCCTGGAATGTCCACGTGGCACCCACGAGAATACTCTGGAGAATCCCCGTGTGGTTAGAGTACTGACACTCTATTCTAACTGCCTCGTGCAAGCCGCCATTTTGTTAGATAGGTTAGACCGGGTGCGATTGGCGATATACGACTGGAAAACGCGAATTCCCGAGCTTGAGACAGTGTGAGGCAGTTCAGGCGATGTTGTTTTACTTGGGCCGTTCTAGGAGGGGGAAAAGCGTCTCTCGCGATTTCAGACAAATAACTTTCAACAATGACTTGAAGCAACAAGGAAGGGAGTGTCCTTACTCGGAAGAGTAGCTTAATGAGTAGTTCTAGCTCCAGCTGCAGAGAACTCTGTTAGCAGACCGCTTCCCGGTGCTCGAGGCACCCGACATCAGAAAGTGTGCGACATTGTAGGCCCCAACGCGCCCTCGTTGGCTTTCCTTGTACCGCCGAGACGCTGCCAAAAAAGCTATTGGCGCGGTCCAATGTGTGCACAAGCGGCATCAATTTAGGTCGTGAAACTTGGCATTCCGCATTCATCTGCACAAACGAAATGTGCGAAAATGTCAATGTCATGTTTGCGCCTTTCTGAATGCAACCTTTCTAGGAAAAATGTCTGGATACCGTATTTACTCGCACAATGAACGCACCCCCCCCCCAAGTCGGCTCTCAAAATTTCGACTTTTTTTTTCCCTCGCGTAATAAACGCACAACCAACTCGGAGGCCACAATTTTGACCTCCTCCACCCACGCGCGCGAAATGAACGCACTTTTTTATTCTAGTGCAGCGAGGTCGTGAATGCATGGGCAGCGTGGGAAAACAAAACGCCTTGCAAAAGGAGTTAAAAAAATTCCCAACGATCCAACGGAAGCAAGAAAAAAAAAAAAAACACAAAGAGAAGCTTTTTTTTTTTTTTTTGCACAGCGCAGTTTAAATTTTGGCTTCGCGCGTCGGCGCGCGAACCCAAGAGAAGCGCTCTAAGCAAACGAAACAGCTTGCGAAAGGCGGTAAAAAGAAGAAAAAAAAAACCACGGAACTAAGAGAAACCAAAAACAAAGAGGAACTTTTTTTCTTCTTTTTTTTTTCACAGCGCAGTTTGGTTACGGGGGTCGTGCGTCGCGCGCCGCGCGCAAGGAGATAAGAAAGATAAGCGGAGAGCCCTCGCCTAATCAACGCCTAAGCAAACAAAACAGCTTGCGAAAGGCGGCAAAAAAAACACCGAAGAAATTTTAAAAAAAAGTTTTTTTTTTGCACAGCTTAGTTGGTTACGGGGTTGGGCGCCGCGCGCAAAGAGATAAGAAGTTACTTCGATTTTGCAGGATAAAAGGTCCGTTCATTTCATTATGCGAGTAAATACGGACGCAAAAATTTTACTTCGCGTAATGAACGCCCCCCCCCCCCCCAACTTTGCATTGATTTTTCGGAAAAAAAAGTGTGTTCATTCTGCGAGTAAATACGGTATGTGCTTTTCTACAAATCACATGACAATTCTATCATAGTTGATTCGCAAACGACCAAGAATGCAGGAGTGTGATCTGAACCGTTTTTGTCGACGTCGGAGAGCGGCGTGATATCAGACAGTGGGAAAGGTCGGCCAGCCATGTTTCTCATTGGTCCTATACTTTCTGTCCTATACTTTCACAATGTGAATGATCTGCAGGAACAAGTCACTCGCCCAAGAGGAAAGGTTGTGCATTAACTGCACAGGTGAGCTTCAATTGCTTTAATAATGCAACTTTCTAAATGTTTTCTGGACATTTTCGTTTGCTCGTCTGACTGCGTAGATCGTACTGAATGGATATTCGCACGCTGCGCAGCAAAGGAAACGTGCAGGCTTTGCTCATTAAAAGGTTACTTTAACATGAAGAAAATACGCCAACCTTCAGAGTATGTCACCTAATGCAATGATTGTGCAATCGATCAAGAAGATGTTTTGGTAACGGACAGGAATCAAGATAGTAGCACATTCAGCCACTTTCATTTAGATAACTTATTTTACGAGCTTCCTTCGTTTAACTTCAACCCTAGTTGAGCCAAGCGACTATGCATACGCTACCAAAAACCGCTATTGACCGTTAGTTCTGCTCATGAAGTGCAGACAGAGACAAAGCATATACAAAAAAATATTGACACAATCGCCCTTACAGCAGAACCTCACTGACGCCCTCCCCGCTGTTACATTCATAATGACCTGTACCCCAGAATTCTAATGGGGGGTATTAATTTCCCATTTCCGGCATTTCCATGACCAGTTAACTTAAACTGCCACCAGAGGCAACACATCGAGTTGCCTCTTTTCATTCGCTCCTCCTTCACAGTGTCTGCCGTGCTGGGCGAGCGTCGTCTTGCCTAAAACGGACGAAGCATGCGCGCGTTTATCGCAGGTGGCTTTGGGGCCGGGACAGGGCGACCAGAGCAGTCATACCCTCGCGGTTGAGGCACAGCGCATTCGACCAATCGTGATTGCGCTGGGGCTCGTGGGATCGCTCTCCTCACCACCAGCATGTCTCGCCTTCAGTTCCCCTCGGCGCTCCAGGCCTTTGCGCGCGAGAATGGGGTGCCCAAAGCATACGCCGGAGCAACCAGCGGCTGCTCGACGGCGTAAACATGCTCGAGGGAGAGAATGTTGTTGACTTGTCGGTGGTCTCACCCTGGGCGTTAGGATGGAATGCATTTGGCGTCAAGATAATGCTGCGCGTGAACATGAAGCGGCACATAGAATGTTGCAGAGTGAAGAACGGACACGCTGGTGCGACCGAGCAATTTGCGCAGCGCGTCCACGAACATGTGTTCGGTATTAGCTGTTTTGTGTGTGATCGGTTGAGGTTTACGCATGACACTTCACGACGCAAAATTGCCAGAATCTCCAGTCAATCGCAACGCAATATCATCAAAATGTTGCACCAGCTAACACTGTCCATTCGCATCATGTCATGAGATTGCCCGGGCAATTTTTTTTAGCTTTGCCTCTCAGCCTCTTTTTTCTTATGCACATGGACCTGACTTTGAACTAGGCTTGGAAGGTGTTGAGGCTTTCGCAACAGCCCGCTCATCCTTATACCTCTTTTCTCGGTCTATGCGCGTGTGCGTTGCTGGGTGCCCCTGGTTGCACTTGCCTAGAGGGGGGTACTTGGTCCACCCGGCCACGGAAACAGCCCGGGCAAGGGAACCCGCAAACGTAGGAAAGAGCCGAAGGATAGTGGTGGCTCTTCAGTCAACTTTCTCTGAACAATCTCGCTGCATGGCCATGAACTGCCAGCGCGTTGCAGTCGCTCAGAGTTCGTGGCCCTTCATTTAATTTAAAGAACATCCGCTTTTTGACAGCGCAAACATTTTGCACATACAGAATTATGAAGCCCGAGATGGGGAATTAAAACAAAAACGGACAAGGCAAACGCAGCTGGGCGTTTATTGAGCAGAAAACGCGAGTGGATCAAAAGGTAGGAGAAAAAAACAAAAAAAACATGTGCCAAAGCTTAGGTTGTTTATAGGCACGAGTCTGGCTGGCTAATCCCTTCCAAGGTTTCCCACACCACTTAGACAGAAAATGGGCAAGCAAAGGCCCAAAAGGAAGCATCCCTTAAGAATACCAGAGCAACTCCCGTAATTTTCTTACTAGAATCTGCTTAACGTCACACCAGAAGTCGGGGCAATGAAGAGAAACAGATTGACCTAAAATGAACTATACCAACGAGCATCTCCGGTAAAGAGGGACGCACACACAAGTGATATGCTTGGCAAGGCAATTTCGCGAGGCAAACATGTCTGTTTCGATCTCTACCCCGGACCACCTTTCTTTGTCATTCTTTAGACAGATTCAGTGATCTGAGGAATTCGTCTTTCCAGTTTGAGAGGGGAAATATCATGTCCGTGTCCTATCTTTGGAAGGGGAACGGAAGGACAAGTCCCTGGCCATGCTGCAGACCGATGAACCAGGTTATTGTTAGCAATCCCCAAGGGTACAAAGGCTATCAATGGAAAAGCACTAACTGCCCTTTCAAAATGTTCTGAAAAAAAGAAAAAGATGTTCTGGTAGCAAAATGGGAATTGAGTACGATTTTGGGCGACGATGAAATAACTTTCACTTGGAAAG